CACGTGACCCCCGCGGCGGGCGGGGGAGGGGGCGGGGTGTTTGGGGCGCTGTTGCTGGCAGAGCCTGAGAGGACGCGTTCCAACGGAGCAATTAGGCGCAGCCGGAGCTCCAAAGCCGGTGGGAAGGTGGGAGGCGGAAACGCGCGCCCGCTCCGGCCCGGAGCTGGTTCTGCACTTTGATCGGGAGCTTTTTTTTTTTTTTTTTACCCTTTGTTGGAAAAAATGTTTAGTCACTCTGCGTGGTTATTATTGGCAGGCCAGCATTTTGTTGCCGATGGGAGCCTGGACTTGAATTCCGGAAGAAGTGCGCTTTTAAGAATAACATTGTTATTCAAACTAGTATGTTTGAAGTGTGTTTCAGAAATAACCCTCACACTTGACTGAGGCTTCTGCTCCTTTTGAGTGGCCTGGGCCAGGTCTTTTCTGTTTTAAAGATAAGTCCGACCAAGGCAAGGACAAGGTGTATGGGGGGTGGGGGCGGGGTGCAGAGTTGGCCTCCTCACTCGGGGTTCCCCCTGCAGAACACACCGCTGTTCGCAGTTTCTCTGATGATTCCAGAAATAATCGAGGCCGTACAGGGAGTGCTTAAAAACACAACTGTTACTTAACACCAGTAAGGAACGTTTTCTGCTGTTGATTTGTAACATTTTGTGAACTTCACCTTCTACCCCAAGCAAATATCAGGTGGATGCTGGGTTCCCAGCCAACGTGACCTGTTTGGGTGACTGGGAGCCTCAGGGTTACGGAATGTCCACCTTTGCTTGTGTGTGTGTTATTTTTATGTCCTGCATGCAGGGTTATTCCCTGAAGTTGATCATTGAAAGAAGTGGTGCTGCTGAGTGAGGCCTGCCCCTCCCAGTTGTATGGCAGGGTCACAGACACCTGGCGGGTTGGGTAATAGGCCGGCTACTGCCCTCCTTCCCAAGGATCATCGACTAATTGTTGGACACGGAGTTCTTTAGGTAATAAGGAAAAGAATGTTCCATACTCTTCATGTGGTCATTCACCCACACACCCACCCCAGGAACCTGAGGGGCATCCTGGTTCCCTCCGACTGTCTCCCAAGCCCACCTGCTACGTCTGCTTCCTAAATGGCCCCTAAGCCGGCCTTCCTCCCCATTTCCCTGAGCCAGAGCAGCGTTCGGATATTTGTCAAACAAACTAGAGAATGTTTGAGAACCTCTCTGTCCCGGATTGCTGCGACCCGCCTAAGGCGATGGGGATCCGTTGGGCGCAGGAAGCTGGTGCCAGGTCAGCCAGAAGCAGCGGAAGCTGTTGGCTCCTTCCTCACCATGCACCTTGCTTTTCCCTATCACTGTGATCAAGGATGTCTGGCCTGGATACCAGTGAGCTCATTCATTCCCCACATCAAAGGGGAAGACGCCCCTCTGGCTCTCACCAGTCCTGGCTTCCTGTGGGGCCCCGTGGCTCTCGATCCTCAGCACACTGCACAGCATTCTGCATGTTTCTGAGGTTTCACGTTAGGAGTTGATTTGCTCTCTTTAGAACGCTTCGCCCCTTGTTAAAAAAAGTAATGCATGTTGCCCTGGCTGATTTGGCTCAGTGGACAGAGCGTCGGCCTGTGGACTGAAGGGTCCTAGGTTCGATTCCGGTCGGGGGCACATGCTCAGGTTGAGGGCTCAATCCCCAGTATGGGGTGTGTAGGAGGCAGCTGATTAATGATTCTCTCTCTGAATTGATGTTTCTATCTCTCCCTTCCCCTCTGAAATCAATAAAAAAATATTTTTCAAAAAAGGTAATGCATGTTTGTGTTAAAAGCAAACGCAAAATAGCCTTGCTTTTAAGAAATGGGCATGTGCTCTACCTCAGACGTGGCTTTTTATGGAAGAATTCTCGTTTCTAAAGTTAGGCGCTTGCCACTGAATTCCCCAGGTGTTGGCTCCTCTGCTGCCCTGAAAAAGATTTAATGTGCATAGTTTGGGTCCCCTTCTAGCTTCTCAAGCACACCTTGCGTAATGTGAGGCGCAGTAAGGTACGTGTAACATAAACCGGCGACGCTGCAGAAAGTTAAATGTCCAGGACATCGGCCGAGGTCCCAGACGCTGGCGTGTGGGCATTGAAAGAGGAAGAAGGTGAATCCACATGGACGCCCACATTCGTGGAGGACAGGTCCTCAGCACCCGCTACAGTGGGAGGGGAGAAAGGCTGTTCCTGTGGGAACCCCTGACATGGACTTGGTCCCGTCACTCACTCTCTCGTTGGTGTGAGATCCTGGGTGTCACGCGGCGGACGGTCCTGACTTACGAAGATGGTTTGCCTTAGGATTGGATGCTGTGTTCTGAGCCCGCTGAAAGTAGGCGGGGCTCAGCTCGGAGGTCATTAAGTGCAGGTTCAAGTTACAATGCGTTTATGGGGATATGCAGTCGAGGAGCATCTGTACTTTATGTGCCAATGAACGGATCTTACAAAAGGCGATGTGACCTTTTCTCAAAGGGGACGCACGCACGTGTGTGCATGTGCGACTGAGTAAGTGGCTGAGTTGGAAGAGGAACCCAGATCTGTGTTCTCCAAAGCCTGTCTCCCGCCCTTTTTCCGCTGCTTTGCAGACCGCCACCCCCGTGCCCATTGGACGTGATGCTGAATCAGCCCTGGAGGTTTCTGGGTTTCCATTTCCTCATTTGGGCAGTGGTGCCCTGACACCTGCTGTCCTGTCACACGGTTTTCTGAGGGCCCAGTAAGAGGTCTGAGAGGAGTGTTCAGGGTCGGGGATGAGTACAGGTCCTCGCACGCAGTGCGGGGCTGCAGGTGGGTATGCAGTGTCCTGCAGTGCCTCCACAAGTCCGGTGGTACTTCCGGGTGCAAAGATGGAGTATGTGTGGGAAATTGGGGCAATCCCTCCCCCCCCAAACCCCCATGGTTTTAGAAACATTTGTGATAGCGGCATCCTGGTAGGGAGAGAGATTGGGAATCTTGGGGCAGGTGCACGCCTCTTCCTGCAGTCATGCTGACGGGGTTCTTTACAAAAATGTGACCGGCAGTGAGCTTTCCCCAATTCTTGTGAAGATCTGATTTCTCTGTTTGATTACCTAGTCCTTGCTGATGTGGGGCAATATAGGCTTAACCTTGAATTTGCTTTTGATTCTATAGACTCATTGCTTTCCAAGAGCCATAGAAAAATATGATTCAGAATTCCCTTTATGACCTGGCTTGACTCTGCACATTTACTCAGTAACTGTAAGTGGTTTAGTTATAAGATACTTCATTGCAAGAAATTAGCCCTTTAAAAAATGCAACTATTGAACGCCCAGTCATGAATTGAAGATAAAATGTTTCATGAGTGGAAAGTTCCCACCCTCCCAGGCACAGAACGTGAGGTTTGAGCCGCCCCACAGTCTGTCTGCGGTGCCATCAGGTTGGGGGAATAGCAGTTTGTAGGTGTTTGTGTCACACTTTCTGAAAAAGCAAACTAACCCTAGAGCACAATACAGACCGTCACTTCTGCATGGGGGGGACGACGTGGCCCTCGGGGTGCACGGAGGGTTCCTGCCCACAAAGGAGTGGACAGGGCCGTTTGTTTCTTCTTCCTGTTACTGCTAATTGTTGCTGCACCTGACTCCTCGCCCTCGCCAGCAGCGCAGCAGC